ATAATGAGAGACATACAGACTGAAACCGCTGCTGCTGAGGCAGCGGGGAACATGCTCGTTCAGTGCTGGTGGGAGTTCAAACAGGTACATTCCCTTTGGGAGGGAATTCAATGTCTAACAACAAAACTAGGCATTTTATTCTTAGGCCCAGCAATCCATCTCCCTTCTAGGAATTTATTCTAAGGATACACCTCCAATAAAATGAAAACAAACAAACAAAAAAAAACTGGCATATATCAGGTTATTTACTGTGGTATTATCTGTAATAGTAAAATATTAGAAACAGCCTAAAAACTATGATACATAGAAAACTACAGATCACAATTAGGAAAATCTTCATGAACTAATGAGTGATTTTTAGAATATATTGTTAAATAAACAAAATACATTGAGGTGATTCACCTTAAGAGAGTGAGAAAAATCTCAGTCCTCTCAGTAGATGCAGAAAATGTTTTAAATTAAACTCTAGGGGCACCTGGGTGGCTCAGTGGGTTAAGCCTCTGCCTTTGGCTCAGGGTATGATCTCAGGGTCTTGGGATCGAGCCCTACATGGGGTTCCCTATGTCCCTATCCCTCTGTCCCTCCCCACTGCTCATGCTTGCTCACTCTCATATAAATAAAAAAAAAATTAAATTCTAAATCTATTCTTGACTTTCAAAAAAATTCTAGCAGATGGGGGTACCTGGGTGGCTCAGTCAGGTAAGCATCTGACTCTTGATTTCAGCTCAGGTCCTGATCTCAGGGTTGTGAGATGGAGCCCCACATCAAGCTCCATGCTCAGTGGGGAGTTTGCTGGAGATCCTCTCCCTCTGCCCCTCCCCTACTCCTAAAGTAATAAATAATCTTTTAAAAAAAGTCTAGCAGACTGAGAACAGAACACGTCTCCAGGTGTTCTCTAGGGACACTTAGAGCCAAAATCATACTTATTGGTAAAAATTGAAGCTTTCCTTTTCAGATCAAGAGCAAGGCAAGAATGAGAGTGCCTACTATTACCTCTTTTTATTAACATTGTCTGGAAGTGCTAGCCAGTACACTAGGACAAGAAAAATAAAAGATAAACATTAGGAGAAGAAAATCCCCTCCCTTTATCTGCAGGTGTTATGAATATATATATAGTCCATATAAAAGAATCAACAGGTGAGTAATTAGGATTAATAAGAAAGTTTAGCATACATGGTTCCTTGAAAGAATCAATTAAGTACAGATTTTTTTATCTATAAACAAGCAGTTGCTTAGAAGATAAATATAACATTTATTATGGTATCATAGAATATCAAGTACCTAGCAATAAATCCCAACAAAAGCAGTATTAAGACCTTTGTGAAGAAAATTATAAAACTATCAAGAGAATTTAAGAAGTGTTTAATAAATGGAAAGGTATATTTCAGTTCATGGATTGGAAGAAGCAATTTGTAAAGATGTGACTATTTCTAAAGTTGATCTGAACTTCACTGCAATTCCAATAGATTTTTTTTTTTAAAGAACTTGACAGCTGTTTTTATAGTTTACATGGAAATGCAAGCAGCCAAAAGTAGTTGACTCTTGGAAAATAAAGTTAAGAGGGGAGAATTTGTTTTACCAAATGTCAAGACTTCTTAGAAAACTATAGTGATTAAGACACTGTGGTAGTGGTGCGAGGGTAGGAAATGGTCCTGTGAGGCAGAATGGAAAGCCCAGAACAGGCTATGCTTGATTTGTGATCAGGGTGCACTGCAGATCAATGGGAGAAATGTTGGCCTTTTATATACATGGTGCTGGGGACCTGGCTGGCACAGTACATTAAGCATCTGAATCTTGGTTTTGGCTCAGGCCCCCATCTCAGGGCCGTGAGATTGAGCCCTGTGTCATGCTCCCCACCCAATGGGGTTCTCTCTTTCCTCTCCCTGTGCCCCTCCCACTTGTGCTCTCGCTCTCTCAAATAAATAAAAAGATCTTTAAAAAAAAATAAATAAGTAGTGCTGGGACAGTTGGGTTTCCATGTTGGATAGAATGAGATTGGGCTCATACTATACACCAAAGACAAAAATTAATTATAGAATTAAATGCAAATGGAAAAATGATAAGTCTGCAAGATAAGAAAACACCTTTGTGATCTTGGAGTAGGGAAAGATACTTGAATAGTACACAGAAAGTGGTGACTGTAAAGGAATTTAGAGATTAAGAAATATGGAATATTAACATTGAGAATTTATCATAACCAGAAGACACCATTAACAGAGAAGGGCTTAACACATAAAACTAATCTGTGGTGGTAGAAATCCTGAAAGGTTATCTCTTCGGGGAGAAAATGACTTGGGTCTGCTGGAGACACAGGAGGGCTCCCAGTACACTGGCAGTGTCTTTCCTGGATCCGCTGGTGGTTACAGAGACGTGTTCATTTTGAGAAAATTCATTAGGCTGTACTTAGAATTTGAACATAATTTATATACTTTTTAATATGTTGTCCTTCAATATAAAGTTTCTTTTTAAAGGTAAGCCACCTGAGAATCTAATTACACATATCCAATGAAAGCTTGTATTAAAATATTAGAGAATTTCTACAAAGAAGAAAAAGATGGACATTCCGAGAAAAGATGTGCAAAATAATTGAACAGATACTTCAGAAAAGAGGAAATCCAAATGCTCATTCTAAAATGAAAAGAAGCTCAGCCTCAGTCAGTCATTGGAGAAATACACATGAAAACTGGACCAACGTTTCTCTACACCTAAACTGGCTAAAAAGCGTCTGACCCCTCCAATCATCGTGCGGGCCTGGGGGGCGGAGCACAGGGGGAGCAGTGCTGGAGGGGGGTATCTGCATGGACACTTTGGACACAGATTGTCTTCACGTGGTAAGCAGGAGGGCGGCGCCCCATGGGACTTGGTGATCCCTCTCTTTTGCAAATGTGTGCACACATGCACGAGAACATGTGTGCGAGAATGTTACAGCAGCATGGTTCACACAACTCCCAATGCCTGTCAGCGAAAGAACGGATGCATCACCTGTGCCGTGTTGAGGAAACCCGTGTGCTGTGCACCAGTACCACAGTCCTGCGGATGGACAGGTTAACAGCTACTGGCAACAAGTCAGATCAATCTCAAGTTCAAAAGCAGGCTAAATATTATTAATACAGTGCTTTTTAGCAATCACTTTGGAAGCCAGGATAGTGGAGCGGGATTAGGAAGAACTGTGCACGGTGAGAGAGGGGAGCTCCTGGGGTAATGCTTATCTTTTGACCTAAGTGATGGTTACACAGATGCTGGTTTTCCAGTTTTTATTAGGCCGTCCACTTGTTTTATTTGCCTTTCTAAATATTTGTCAGATTTCACAATTGAAATCTTTTAAGACACAGTGGATGCAGTAAGAGACCTTTTATTTTTACGAAAATCATTGAATATTGAAAATGTGTTGAAATATGGCAAAATGTCAAAGACTAATTTCATGTGAAAAAGTAATGTTATAATTATCCTTTCGAAATGGTATTGAATACTGCTTTGAGTGTTCCGTTTTGATTTTCTAATTTCTAACTTTTCATAAGCCAAAAGTTTTCTTTAATAAATATCACCAGTTAAGACCTTTGAATTTTTTTTCTTTAAAGATTTTATTTATTTGTTTGAGAGAGAGAGCGACAGAGATAATGAAAGAGACCACAAATGGGAAGGAGAGGGAGAAACGGGCTCCCCACTGAGCAGGGAGCCCTAATGCCATGTGGGGCTGGATGTCAGGACCCTGAGATCATGACCTGAGCCAGAAGCAGATGCTTAACCAACTAAGCCACCCAGGCGCCCCAAGACTCTTGAATTTCTATAGTAATTTTCCCATCATAAAATTCACTCATTGTAAGTGTACAGTTCAGTGACTTTTGATCTGTAGTGTTTGTTGTACATCCAACCAGTTTGACAGATCTAATTTGAGGACATTTCCATCACCCCCTAAAATCCCCTCAAACCTGTTTGTAGCTATTCAAGATGTTCTGTTTTGAAGGTAGTAAGTTGATTCACGTATTTCAAATAATTCATCATTAAAAGTAGAGTCACAAATTGTTGGACGGAAACATGAAAAATGTCAAAGTCCTTTAAAAATGTTAGATACTTTAGTTTGAGATACAGTGTGCGTATTAGATTAAAGTCAGCTTTGGTTCACATCTGTTCTCAGTAGATAATATGATTTCTTGATGTCAGTTTTTTGGTAGGGAATGCTCTTCTGGGTGATTTTTCAGTTTAAAAAAATTTGGTTGATATGCAAGAGAGGTTTCAAATACAAATGTGTATGCCATTCTCAGCAGGATTAATTTCTGAGAGAAAAGATCAGACAGAATAGGATGTAGAAAGGGGTAGGAAATTAGATTATAAAATTATTTAATTAAATACATATATTAAATTGTAGTTGTTTCTTCCATTAATAATTAAAAGATTGGGGCACCTGCATGGCTCAGTTGGTTAAGCGTCTGCTTTCGGCTCAGGTCATGATCCCCGGGTCCTGTGATCGAGCCCCACATCGGGCTCTCTGCCCTCTGCCTGCTGCTCCCCGTGCTTGTGCTTACTCTCTCTCTCTCTCTCTCTCAAAGAAAATCTTAAAAAGAAAAAGGATTTGTTGATTGATTCTGTTATTAAGCTTCTCAAACTTGGGGAAAATATAAGAAAATATAAGTTTAAAAAGCTCTTTGTCTTTTTCTACCACTTCATACAGAGATAGGAAATATATCTTATGTAGTACGAGTAAGTGTGAAATGTGTGTATGACATGAGTATAATTAAGTATGCGGTAATTTGTAATTGGGCTTCCCAGAGTGAGTTGAATCTTCAACAGATTTGACCAACTTACGCTTTAGTGTTGAATATGAATTAGGAAGTACAGTTGTATTTTGTATCTCATTAAATATTTGTCCAAAAGGATCACATTGAATGGGAGTTTTGGAAACTACAACAATGTCTGGCAACTTGCTAAGTCGGTTAAGGGCAAGGCTGTATCTTCTCTGTGTTGTTCCAGGATTTGCTCACTTTTTGCTCTTCTCTTGTCAGGCACTTTACTACCCAGGCTGCCGTCTGAGCCAGGAATGACATCACTCACCATCCGAATTGAGAAAATTGGTCTGAAGGATGCGGGACAGTGCATAGATCCCTATATCACAGTTAGCGTAAAGGGTAAATAACTCTCTCTGCCTTTTCCCTTCTGGCAAACCATGTAATGTTGATTCGCACTTGGGACAGGGGCAGGTGTGGGGCTGGGTCCTGGCACCTGTGACCGTTCATTTGCATTCGCCCTACAGTGAGGGAAAATCCCTGGGCAGCCGTCCTAGTTCCTTCACTGAGTATTTCTGAGAGTGTTTCTAAAAATACTTCATTATTTATCATTGACATGCGTATTTGCTTTTGAGGGTTTTTTGGTAAATTTCCATATCCTTCAAATCCGATCCAGGGTGCGGACTAGATATACACACTGTCTTCAACGGCAGATGCTTCCTTCCACCTTCTCAGCGTATGTGGTTTTCTTTGCCAAGCCCAACGCTCTCCTGTTCCCCCACGCCTCCCCTTCGGGCCCTCTCCCTCCTGCCATGGTGTCTTAGGCCCAGGGGAGCCTTGCAGGGGTGCGAACGCGTGCATCAGGCCTCCAGTGAACCATCCGTGGAGACAGGGAAGTAGGACACATCCATGAACAGCCATACCCTGAGCCTAATGCTGGGGGCGTGAAAGAAGCGTTGTATTTCTTACTAAGCACGGTTGTCTTCAGGATTTGCTTGTTTTCTCCTGTCCAGTGTGGCATACCATTTATTCCTTGAAAGTAACTTTCTGAGTCTTTGGTTTAGGACGGAATCTGCGCTGATGGATCCTTTTGTTGGCGTCAAGCCTTCATATGGCACTTTATTTGTAAAGCACTCAGTGGTCTTTTAAAAATAAATACTGGGCAACTGAGGATAAGGTTGCCGTACTATTACTCAGAAATCCTGCACCATCAACTTTCATCTACAGCTAATCTGCACCTTGAGGCGAACCAAAGAAACAGGCTGAAACTAAACTTACCAATCACAGAAGTAAATTCAGACCCCTGGGTTCATTAGTACCAAATAACAGAAAAATGAATTCAGACACAGAGAAGAATTTTAACATGGAGACCCCGTGACCCACAGCACTAATGCTGAAATACTTGAACCTCTGATGTTAGCGTTTCCCAAGTCCATGGTCTCCTGGGAAGTCTTGATACCCTACACTATGTGATAGACCATTTGTAAAATTACGTATCTCACGTGGTACAATGCACTGTAAAAACGTACTGCAGGGTAATGTTCTAGGTGCTCTGTTACCGTTGCAAACACTGAACTAAAATCATCAAACGTACTAAATTGTTGTAAGTTCTCCCAGGTAGGAGTCTGTTGAGTAATTCATAAACGCTAGTCATTAACTGAGTCCATGTTGAACTTGATTTAACTGCAAGATTCCTGGCTCCAGGAAATTAAAACCGTACACCATACCTAGTGTACCCTGTGGTTGTTGTAAATCAGGTTACTTTATAGCAGGGACAGTCAGAATTTAGGGAACATGTCTAAAGAATGACTCGTTTAGAGAAAGGTTTTGTTGGCAGCTTTCATGGCCACTGTTCTGACTCTCCCTGAAATACAGCTGGAGAATTCTGTCATGTTTGATGAAAGGCCTTTCTACGCCGTGTGCTTGATCGAAGTTGGAAAATAGGGGTAGGGGCCCCACTGTGGATATCATTCGTGTTCCAAATTTTTGTTGCATACAGCAGTACAGCGGTGTAAGGAAGACAAAAGTTCTTTTCCCTTCTTAACAATAGGGATCAAACTGTGTTGTCCTCAAGCTTTCTTTAGCACCTGTACCTGGCAAGGCTTCCTCCCCTGGCCCTGAGGCCTCTCCCAGACTCCATCCTCTGCTCCCTCCATGCGCCTCCAGAAACAAGCAGCTCCCTACGTCCCTACTCACACCAGAGGGGGTGTCTGTATCGGAGACTCTCCTCGCAGCTTTTGCCAGGCCTCTTTAGGAAACCTAACCCTCTGTGGTTTGTTTGTAGTTTCTGAGTCTGTATGTTTGAAACTCTTTTTTTCCCTCTCTAGATCTGAATGGCATAGATTTAACTCCCGTGCAAGATACTCCTGTGGCTTCAAGAAAAGAAGATACATATGTTCATTTTAATGTGGACATTGAGCTCCAGAAGCATGTTGAAAAATTAACCAAAGGTTGGTTTGTGGTGGTAAACATTGGCTTCTGATGGCCGGAGTTCTCAACTTGGGTTTGTGTGCCCGCAAGCTAGCGTGGTGGGCACTAGTACGTGTCACATAGTGTTTAGTGACTGAAGTATCATTTTTTTTAAACGTGGGAATTAGGAATTGTATGATCTAGTTGTATAATAAATAGCAGTTGTATAATAAAATGTTCTTTGATTATAAAATTTCATCATCTTGGACAACAAAGCAGAATGTCTAAGTTTTCCTCTTACTGAAGAGTGGAGGGAGACAGAGGCTCTGACGGTTTAGTCTCTGATAGGTGAAAGAATAAGTTGTTGTTTTTCCAGCTGATTTTATTGGGCAGAAAGATACCATAAGTTGTACGTAGTTGGCAGGAGGTTGGGAAAGGACAAAACTCATTTTTAAAAAGGTGAAGTTAATTTCCAAGTGAGCAGGTTCCTGAGACTAAACGCTTTTCAGTGCCGCGTGCGCTGCGGGAGAGTCTGCCTTCTAGGACAAGACTTCAGGATCCCTCCATCACCTGAGATTGTCTTGCAGTTTTTGACATTTTCACGCTTTGCAGGAAGCTTGTATGAGATCTAGAAGTGCCTTTGGAGCCATGGCCACATTCTCTAAAATATGCGACATTTTACTTCTCAGATCTGGTGCTGCTGCCGTCTCAGCTCTGCCCCTGGAAGACTTGTCTCGTGGGGCTGCCGTGGGTGTGGGGGCCACGAGTGTGAGCAGCAGCAGCACCTGGAACCATGTTAAATGCCAGTGCTCTGGGCCCCCACCTCCCGGAAGACCTCCTGACTCAGAAACCCACTGGCTCGGCTCAGCAGTCTCTGGGGGGACTTGCACCTGGTTCTCATACACACCAAAGCTGGAGAATTGCTATTAGAATATGGAGAGGATAGGCTTAAGAAATAATGTTGAAGAAATTTCAGTATGAAGTATTAGGCTGTCTGCATAAAAATGTGAACAAAACTGGGTTTTTGTTGTTGTTGTTTTAAGTCCATTGCTTTGGGAGAGGTTTCTGATATGGGTGGGGGCTGTGGCGGGGGAGGTGTGGCGGTGGGAGAACGTTTTGTGGGCTGACTTCTATGTCGCAGTGCACGTGTTCTGGAGGGTTCATGAGATGCCGAAAGTAGAACCAGATTTAGAATCTGTTCGTTTTCTCGAGCTTTGACTTTACGGTGTGCAGTATTACCATAGTTTCCACGGATACACGCTGATGAAGATGCTGTGTTGATGTGTACAAGCATTTCTGTTCATCTCCGTACACTCGTCTCCTTGTACGTTCCGTTGTTTCTTATAAATACCACGAAGGAAAAGCTGCGTGCACCCGGGACGCAGGAAATAGATGATCTATTGATGATGCAGATAAATAATGAAACTTTTTTGTTCCTTAACATGATGGAATTATGTTTGACCTTTAGTATTGTTTTCAAATGTGACTTTATTCCACATTTATTCAGACCTGAGACATGGGCGCGATGACGAGGAGATGGGCATCATAGCTGCGGAGACGAAGAGATGGGATCGGCTGTCTGAGGAATCTGTGATGGTTTTTAATAACCAGCCGCTTCTGTTATTTCTGTGGGAGAGAGAAGAGAAGCTGCCCTTTGGCAGATACGGAGGGTCATACCTTGGGCACTGAAAGTTGTCAGTCACTAAGAATTGTAACCCTCGTGTGGGAGCAGGGAGCAGATGGCCAGGTGTGCCTGTCTGTCCCTCAGCCACGTCCCACACTCTTGAGCAGTTGCTCTCTCTTTCCTCCGGTGACAGGAGGTGCACCATTTGGATCCAGTGCCAAGACGGCGCACACAGTTCTGAAGGTTGTTAAACCTCTTGTCACTTGTGAGTTTTGTCATTGGTTTAAAAAGTACTGGGTGTGTGTTGTCCTTAAAACGTAAGCAAGATCCAGCCCCACTCGGCTTCAGGCAGACCTAATAAGCAGCCAGTGAAGGGTGAGACCTGCCTTCCTCCCAGCTCGTTTCTGTGCAGCCTTCAGAAATGAATGGCTTTGGGGCACCTGGGTGGCTCAGTCGATGAAGCGTCTGACTCTTGATTTCAGCCAAGGTCATGATCCCAGGGTCGTGAGATTGAGCCCCGTGTGGCCCCGTGCTCAGCGTGTGAGCTACTTGAGATTCTCTCTCTCCCTTTGCCTTTCCCCCTGCTCACACGCACACGTGAGCTCCTTCTCTCAAATAAAATCTTTTAAAAAAGAAATTGTTCTTGGTTACGGTGATGAGGCAGCTTGTTCTGTTCTAAGCTTCTCTCTGTGGGCAGAGCATCTCTGTTGGGCTTTGGGGTGATGAAAACATCTGAATTTCCCATTGCCACTTGCTCACTGGGGGAGGGATGGAATAGGAACCGGCTGGCCCTTCGTCTCCCGGAACATTTATAATTCTGGGAAAAACAAAACCGTGCTTTGAATGCTATAAAAGGTCTTAGGAAACAGGTACTAATTAAAAAGTGAACCAGCCCATGATTTATGTTTGAACTCCAAAACCCCCCAAAAAGGTGACTTTTTTGAGCTTTTGTTTCAGGGAGGAGCAGTGCTTTAAGCTTGGATGTTCTGACGAGTCCTTGCTGGGCTCTGCTGCTTGCCAAGCGTCTGTGGGTAACGTTCGTGCTTCGCAAGCATCCTCTGTGTTCGTTGTGTCACTGCGTTCAGATGAAGGAGTGTTTTAGGTGACAGACCCCGTGGTCTCATCAGAGAGACTGGCAAGGGTTACCCTGTAAAATTGTGCTGACCGCTTGCTCGGATGCTTCCACTGACGGGAGAAAATGAGGGGCACAATGAAAACGTGCCATCTGGGCTGATGTGGTTTGTGTTCATTCCGTAGGTGCAGCTATCTTCTTTGAATTCAAACACTACAAGCCGAAAAAAAGGTTCACCAGCACCAAGTGCTTTGCTTTCATGGAGATGGATGAAATTAAAGCCGGGCCAATTGTAATAGAACTGTAAGTGACACGCACGCCGGCCTCATACCGGTCTAATGCTGACTCGTTCTCTTAGTGCGGGACTGTAGAGCAAGCCAGTTATCCCAGTATGTTAAACCGTGACTTTTCTACTGTGGTTGCAGATACAAGAAACCCACTGACTTTAAAAGAAAGAAATTGCAGTTACTGACCAAGAAACCACTTTATCTTCATCTACATCAGACTTTGCACAAGGAATGATCCTGACATGAGTCACCCGGCACGTCTGTGAATTCTCCCACACAGTAGCAACCAGCCCAGCTCCGCGTAGCGCATCCCCCTCCACCGGGCAGGAGGAGGGCCGCACGGGCGCCGGCAGGCCAGAGCGAGCCCGTGGGATTCACAGCCCAGCACTCCACTGACCTGGACAACTCCTTTGGATACGGGCTTATTGTAGTTTTGAAACATGTTTTTACCTTTATAGTATTTGTGCAATTCATAGTCTCTTTTCTAACTTACCACTGTTCCTGCCCTGCTTCCTGGAACAACACTGCTGTGGGTAGGATCTGCTCGTCTTCAAAAATTAATACAGCAATAAGAATGTGCTAGAGTTTACACATCCGTTCACTTTTGCTCCAGTATGCTTTTTCGGTTTTTTGAGTTGATGTCGAACTTTGGGCTGATGGGAGTAGGAGAGTGTGAAACTGTTGAGAGGAGGAATTGGACCACTTATTCTGCCCAGGGAGGTCAGTCTGGAAAACGATAGGCTGCTCCTCCGAGGTGGCCTAAATTCACCCTGATCTCATAGTTTTCCTGGTTAGAAATCGTGTGCCTTGGCCAGATCAGTATCCCAAATGGGAGGGTTCCCAGGTTGTAGCTGTGATTTTTCCAGATGACCAGATTGTTTTTCTGAAAGAGCACATTTGTAGTCCGTTGATTAGCTTTTCTTCTACGTCACATTATTATTCTTTCTGATAGTGATTCTAGGGTTACTGATGGAACCATGTCAGAATAATTACAGACTTCTAGATGGCTTTGTAATGTCTTCTAAATCATGTAAGCTAAACTGAGTCAGATGCTAACGAGATGCTGCAGGCTGTTTTTCTGACAACTGATTGTGAACCCTTACAGCCTGCATACCTCTTCTTAGAGTGGTGAGTATGCAAAATCTGGAGCTACTCTAGTTGTTTTTATTTAGGTAGACAGGATTGCCATTTATTTCCTATGTAGATATATTGACTTTCATCCATATGGAAATATGCAGGTCATTAGCTTATTATAATTTGACTATTTACAGTATTTTTGACTTAATGGGCCATAAATAAACCTTCAGAGGACACCCAAGGCGGCTGTTTGACACACAGGACATGAACATTGGGGGCGCGCTCTCTGTGGGTTAGATACAGACCCACACGTTTAACATTCACTATGTTGAATGACCGATGCTAGCACGAGGGGAACGCAGCGCCAGTACTTGGCCTGTTTTTAAACTAGTGTAATAACCCGAGTCCTACAGTTCAGTGTGTGCTTTTTAAAACAGCCGCAGTGAAGTGTTCTAGCCCTCGCACTTCAAGAAAGCTGGTCTTTACTTCCGGTTGTCTGTCGGTTCTGTTTAAGATGTTAAAAACTTGGAGCCTGAAAGAATTCTCAACCAAATTTAAGTCTTGTCTCGTATTAATTAGATTAATTCCAAAAATGATTCAGTCCACAATAGCTCAAGGAGATGAAGAATTTGCCTTAATAAATTACCTTGTTGTTCACTCAACCCTTAGACTTAGTTGTCAGCTCCTCAAGGGGGCAAGAACCACGTTTTCTCCAAGTCCTGTATATGTGCTAAGGTGCTTGGCAACGCTCTGTACCCTGTGGAGTACTCAGTACCTCCTGTGTGATGTTGCTGATGAGACCTAAAAAATAATCCCTTAAAGTACCTACTATTAAAATGTAGCAAAACTCATCTGTTGGTCTCTCTCTTTTCTCATAGAGTGTAAGACATGTCAGGGATAATTTATATGAAGAAGCACCAGCTGTCGTTCACATAAGTATGGTTTGTATGAACTGCAGAGCCTTTCCGCAATATTAAAGAAGCTTGAATGGAATGCTGTGTCGTTAGCGTAGCTTTAATTCAGACCTGAATGGGGTGACAGGTGATCATCTGGAAGCAGTAAACACAGAACACTGTACTTCCCACAAATTATTTCTTACTGTCCAATGAAAAAAAAGCAGCTACTGGATAAGAACCGTAGAAATGCTCTCGGGCCAAAACGCTGCCGCTTCATTAATGAGATGATTTTAGCAACTAAGCCCAGACACACGAGGAGCTACAGAAGCCCCGTGAAGCAGCTGGGACAGGGAGGCCGCCCGGGCTCTGCTGCGGCCACAGGGCCCTGGGAGGCGTAGAGAGGTGATGTCCACAGCTCAAGGGAGCAGCACCAGACCTACTCTGCACCTTAGGGACTCCTGGGAACAGGAGATACAGGACGAACACCGAAACTGTAGAGGTAAAAAAGGACTAGCTTTGGCATTAAAATAGGTCTGATTTACCTTTGCAACTTGATTATCTTTGCTAGCAGGTGTTGTCTATTTCATTACTATCTAACATTAGCAATTATATTAACTTCATCATTATTTTGTGTCTTGAAGAGACGGACCTTACTCAGGAGTTGGATTTGTGGTTTCAGTCTTACTTTATTTACATGGTAAAAATAACCTCTGCTATTAACTGTGGAGGTGTTCCTCTCTCGTCTCCTCTATTCTTAATTAAATGGGAAGACACCTGTGAATTATCTTCCTGAAGAACTACTCATGAATTTTCAAGAGTTGTCTTCTTTCAGTGGTCCCTATCTTTTCAAAGTGTTATCGTCCAGTAGTTTAGTGTTAAAAAAAAAAGTTTCACAGTGAAGCTTTTGCTTCTTTTTATTTTATAGGGCATTCGTTAGTACTTTAAGTATTAGAATGGTGACAGGTCATGGTCTAGGTTTCAATAGTATCACGACAGAGAACTTCAGAGAAGGGTAAAGTGTAGTCTAAGTAGTGAATACTACCAGCCTTTCATAACTTAATCTAAATCCTGAAGATTGTTTAAAAAGCAAGATGTAGTAATAGGTATAGTAATACTTTAAATATGATGTAATCCCAGATTCCCATATTTACTGGTTTTTAAATCTAAGTGCCAATATTCAAATACTAATTTTGGAGTAGCAGTAATCAACAAAAAGAACTGTGAGCAGCCTACAAACCTTAGAGTCCTAAATCATTCTTTCTCCTAGTATTGCACGCTTCTGAACTTTTTTGCCGTTTTCCTTGAAAACCAGAGGCAAGTTATGGGAGAAATAGGCTGTACTTTTTGAAAAGGAAATTTCCTTTTTATGGTCACAATGTATCATTTTTAGTTTTCTGTAACGTACCCTTACTGTGAAGATGGTTGCAACAGAACCTCGGGTCAAACAGCTCTTGCTACGACGGTGAGCTCATACTCAGAGACCATCGTCAGGTAGGCAGTGAGTCACCCGAAAGTGGGTGACTGCTGCACTGAGGGGCCCGCTGACTTCTCTAAAGGACAAGGAAGACATACGGTTGTGGTGTTTCCAGGAGACTTCAGGTTGCATCTCCCGGAGCACTGAGCAACAGGGAGCGTGCTGCCAGTCACTGTGGGCAGCTCTGCAAGCCCCAGTTTATGCGGTTCCGAACGGTACGCGGTTTCATGAGAAAACAGTCCAATGAGGCAACAGACACTTGTAATAACCAAATTTTTATGAACTATTACTACAAAGAAGGGAGACAAAGTGATCTTTTAGTAAACATTTTTAGCGTAACAGTCTTTGCGACCAGTATTTTAAAAAACCAAGCTAATAAACACCATTGCTCTGTGTTCAACTGGTGTACACTAAAAATAGGGTAATAAATGGAAATACATGTTCTTCTAGCATTTCCACAGGAAATGTTCATATTTCTATGACATTCTAAATCATTTAGCAGTTACATACGTTATATTAACTAAAACACAGGTATTCCTTATTGCACATTTCAAAGTTGAAAGGAGATTCTAGCTTATGAGGTGGTTTTTATTTGGGGGGAAATTATATTTTTCAATTGTTTGGCTCAAAAATGCATACTGCCAGGGCAGCTTAATTCTTAAAACAAACCTTCTAAAATAAACTTTTGGATTCTGAAGCCAATGAAATCCTTTACTCTTAACAAATGGTTCACAGTTCACTTTCTCAGACTAAATGTCAGAGGACAGAGTTACGGGCTCTGTTTTAAAGCCTGTGAACAGTCCTGGCTACTGCTTTGAGAGGCAGGTGGGGGCTCGTCTCTAGAGCCAGAAGGTGGTAAGTCTCTTGCAGCAGGTGGAGGTGGATAATCCTGGGGCCCATGAGTAGGGGGCGGTAGTCGAGGACCAGGAATAAAGTACTCTCTTGGACCAAGAGAGCCTAAAGGTCTAAAAGGTGTGTGTCCCGGTAAAAATTCTCGAGGATCAAGAGGCATGTCCCGTCTTCCAGGTGGAATGCCTGGTGCATATTCTCTTAAGCCTAGTGGTGGACGTAAAGGAGGACCTGGAAAAATAAAAAGTCCTGTAAATACATATGAACACATGTAAACACAGAAGACGGTGGGTATGACAGTCTATAATTTCTCACAACTTCAGAAATCAGGTGGTGGCATCCCTGACTTCAGAGACGAGGCAAACAGGTAAGTTGTATGCCCGTGGCTGGCCGGCCAGGAAGCCACACAGGCAGCATTTAAACATGGCTCTAGCTGGCTTGTGTTTTCTCTTTTACAGAGTTCTGCCATCTTTCTCTCACAAGGGCTTGGTTTAACACTTCAAAGCACCCTAAGCTTGTCGTAGCAAGACAACAGATTACGAAACAAGGGCTTCACTGTAACAAAGATATTTGATCAAGGGAAACTCCAGTGTCTGCTGCCGTGTCAATTCATGGAGTAGCTCCCCGTGGACTTAAACGTGCCGTCCAAATCCAGGTGGTCGCCTACTGGGGAAAGGCCTTCTAGCTCCCCCTAATCAAATTCAGCAACATTTATTAGGCACTAAACTCGACCTTCTCTAGAGCTAACGCTTCCTCTCATTTACTGCCAAGGCAGGAAGTTTAAGTTGAACTGTCCCTCTTCTCTACTCGATGATCCATTGTTTATGCTTTCATCACAGTGATTACAAGCTTTACGTTTCATTATCTATATATCTACGTTCTAGAGGACTTTGTAAGCTCTTGAGTTGGGAGAATTCTAGCCATCAGCAGACATAGTATTTCCAGCTTTCTATTAATATCTCTGGTCTACATGAGATCTACTGCCCATCTCTGTACAGGGGGATTATGCAGCACCCTGTGTCCTAAAAATTGGAGGGAAAGTTAAGATGCACTGGCTTGTCTCACACTTTCATTACCTAGGCCCGTAAAAGCCACTATTAAAATTTCAACAAGGAACAGAGAGAAAAGATGAATTATGCTCTATAAGTCAATTACTACTATTCAATCATCATACCGAATGGTGGAGGAACTGGCCGAGGTCCGAAAGGCCCGCAGAGTTGAGGAGGTGGTCCATATCGAATGGGTGGTGGCAGAGGGCCTCCCATGGGGGAGCTCATGAGGGGCACTCCTGGGAAAGGAGGGG